ACCTACAAAGGAGTCCCCACCGGACTGTCAGCGGATTTCTCAAAAGAGACCTTACAGGCAAGAAGGGGCTGGAAAGAGATATTCCAAGTCATGAAATCCAAAGACCTACAACCAAGATTGCTCTATCCAGCAAAACTTTCATTTAGAATGGAAGGACAGATAAGGTGCTTCTCAGATAAGATCAAATTCAAGGAGTTCATCATCACCAAGCCCTTATTATAGGAAACGTTAAAGGGACTTATCTAAAAAAAAGAAGTTAAAGAAACATGAACAGTGAAAAGACAACAAACTCACAGTTATTAACAACCACACCTAAAACAAAAGCAAACTAAAAGGACAGCTAGATCAGGAGTGGAAACATAGAAATGAAGATCTCAAGGAGGGTTAGCAACAGGGGAGTGGGAGGAGGAGAAGGGGGAGAAGGTACAGAAAATAAGTAGCATAGATAGTAGATAGAAAATAAAAGGGGGGCAAGAATAGCATGGGAAATATAGAATCTAAAGGACTTGAGACACATGGTCATAAACTAAAGGGGGGGTAATGGTGGGGATGGGGGAGTAGGGTGGAGAGGAATGAAGGGGGGAATAGAACAACTGTAATAGCATAATCAATAAAAAAATTAAAAAAAAAGAAAGACCAATACCTTATGTGGAATCTAAAAAAACAAAAACAAACTCATAGAAACATCGACCAAAAGGATGGTTAATGGGTAGGGCAGGGGTGGGGGAATAGGTGCAAGGAGAAGGGGAGTACAGCCAATACTACTGTGATAAGTTTACACAGTGACAGATGATTACTAGAATCAGTGGAGTGATCACATTACAAGGTATAAATATGCCGAATATCTATACTGTGCAGCTGAAACTAATATAACCGATATAAGATTGTATACCAACTATTCTTAAATAAAAATAAATTAAAAATTAAAAAGCAGGGTATGTTGAAGTGGCAGAGATACTTTTTGAAACAAGGTCAATTAAGATTGAGGGGACTCTGTTCACTCATTTAGAGACAAAATTAACATACCATGAATATTACTCTCTAAAATGTAAAATTTGGGGGCTTTTGAGTATGTTCATAAAGTATATTCATCTGCAAACAACATCACTACAAATTCCAGGAACTTTTCAACATCTCCCCCCCCCAAATAGAGATAACCATCAGGAATCATCATCATTATCTTCAACACCAGCAGCCTCCTCGACCACCAATCTCAGTTTTGGTTCTTGGGGTTTGCCTAGTCTGTGCTTTTCCTACATATGGAGTCATACAACGAATGCATACTGCTTTGTGACTGGCTTCCTTCACATAGAAAAATGTCTTCACGACCCACCCAAAGCTCAGCTTCATGTTTTTATATGGCTAAATACCCCTCCATTACACAGATAGACCACTTTGTTTATTCAATAATCAAGGGATGGGCATACATGTTTTTTCCTCTAAAAAGAGGCTTTTATGAATACGTGTACAATTGCTTGTGTGGACACGTGGTTTGAGTTGTCTTGTACCTATACTAGGGAGTGAAAGTGCTGGTTCATATGGTAACTATTTAATTTTTGAGATATTTTAATAATATAATAATTCTATTTAGTGCATTGTGTGTGTTGAGTTTGAGGTCTCCCATGACATAAGGCATAAACTCCAAAAGAGTAAAAACGGAAATGTTATAACAAGGACAGGTGAAATCCCAGGAACACTTATTAAAGGGTCCTCGTTGGATTCCACAGAAGGGTCAGCACCTCAGGGTTTCAGGTGTGGCACGGAAATCAGCATTTTTAGCAAGCTTGGGCATGAATTTCCTGCCACAAATGGTATAGAATCTTGATCCCTGCCACAGGAAATTTACAAGAATTCCCATCCCCACTTTTACCACTAGGCCTAGAGGAGGTCCCTGTCACCCCTCTCCCAGAGCTCTAAAGAAGAAAACGCCTCTCTGCCTTACTGAGAGCAGGTCAGGGTGAAGCCTAGGTGGTCTGAACCTCTGGGACAGCTAGCTGCAGGACCTGCCAAAAGAACTCAGCAAGTTAGGGTTGGGCAGGAACTGAGTCCCAGGTGACCTGATGCGGGGACTACTAATGTGGGTGCAGGTAGCAGGCTTCTTTGGGTGCTCTGGCTTTGATGGGTTCCCTCCAGCACAGAGGTGGCTGAGGACCTGGGAATAGACACAGGCACTGGCACATGCACAGGGCCACTGTTCATCCATGTACGTGGGAATGTAAGTAGCAGTAAGTGCTGGTGCCTGTCCCAAGACAGGCTCCTGAATGGAAGTAGCCGTAGGCACCCGGAAGCCCATCACTCAAAGAAAAGTGACAAATTCAGGACTGGTTTACTGGCATCCAGCAACCATCTTCCCACACCCAGTAAAAATAGAATGGATGGCAAAGAGAAAGAATTAATAGCACAATACTTCTCTAGGAAGTCTCAGCTTAATAAATGAATATGGGCAGAAGAACTAAGGAGGAAAGTCTATATATCTCTTCAAGGGACTAAGCAAAAAAAAAATAGGTGCAGAGGCAAGAACTTGTTGAGAAACTTGAAATTCCCACTTCTTGAACTATTTTACTACTCTGAGGCAGGGACCGTTTCATATAAGGTGAGTAGGAAACTGAGTGTAGCACCAGTGTCAATAAGGACAGAGATAGATTCATTACCAACTTGAAGAACAGTTTTTCCAAGTCAATTAAGAAGGGGGATTGGGTCAAGTCCCTGCACTTCCTCAGAGACCCATCACTGGAGAACAGGAAGACTTTGGTAAGATTGGTTAGAAGGCTGAGAGCACCTGAAGTGCTTAAACTTGCAACTATCCCTTTTCCAGTGTTCCAACTCTGCAATAAGAGCAGAAGCTTGGAGTCTTTTGGTTTCATATAAGCCAGGGCCTTCCTTTGCCAGGGCTGAAAATTAAAAATCTTGGCAATCTTCTAGGCAGCTCATGTAGACTACAAGCAAGCTGATGGGACAAATTAACCAAATCTAGGGTGGACATGGTTTCCCATTCCATCCTGGTCCTTTTAACTAAAACGGCAAGATTAACACACAAAGAGTTAAAGGTCACCCAAGTGGAATCAGTGTCTGAAGGAAGACCAGAATTTTCTTGAAAAATTACCTGACATCGATTATAATACTCATGAACAAATTTGTGAGCCTTTTTTGAGCATGTCTGAATTTTGCTCCAATCAACAGACTTTGGGATAGCTACTGTAATTACTCAAAGCTAGTGTTCCAGCTTCTTCCCCAAATTAGAGGTTTGTTTTTCGAAATCCCTTCCGGGATGTTCCCATCAAGGAATTGTCATCTAGTGGTGAGCCTGCCCTTCACCAACTGGCACACGAGTTAGCTGCTATAAATCAGAAGACCCAGGCTGAAAGGTCTGAATAAAAATATCGCATTTTCCAGCGAACTTGTGAGGATCCTCAGTTACCTTGGGAAATTCTTCAACAATGGCTCTAATTCAGCTTTAGTCCAGGGAACAAGTTAAACTTGAGGTCTATCAGGATCCTCTGAGGGCATAACTTTAAATGGAAAGGTATTGATATGTTCAGAGGAGGAAGGCATGGGAGGGAATTCAGGGGAAGAAAGTACCAGAGGCAGAGGTACAGATGCCATTCCCATTTATAAAATATTCTTGAGCCCTGGCTGTGTGGCTCAGTTGGTTGGAGCACCTTCCTGTGCACTAAAAGGTTGCAGGTTTAATCCCTGTTCAGGACACATACCTAGATTTCGGGTTTGGCCTACATTGTGGGTTTGGTCCCAGGTTGGGTCATGTATGGGCAGCAACCAATAGAGTTTGTCTCTCTCTCTCTCTCTCTCTCAAAAATCAATACATATATCCTCAGATGAGGGTAGAAATGTTCTTAAAATGAGAACATTATAAAAAGGGAGGACAGATCAGTGGTGGCCAGCAGTGAGGGATGTGGGAATGGGTGGGAGAGGAGTGGACGGGAAAGACAGGACATGGGTGAGTCTATAAAAGAGCAACAAGAGGGAGGCTTGTGGTGATGAACTGTTCTGTATCCAGACTGTATTAATGCCTATATCCTGATTGTATATTGTACTACAGTTTTGCAAGATGTTACCTTTAGGGAAATGAGGTGAAGGGGTAAAGGAGACCTCTCTATTTCTTTCAAGTGCATTGTTAATTTTAGCAATGTCAAAGTTTAAAGTTTAATTTCAAAGAGGGACCGTTTTAAGAGATTCCTCCCTCATCCAGAAAGACCTGAACCACCATTTCCGAGGTCTTTCGCTCCATATTAAGAACCTTGACTTTGGAAATGCTTTCTTGTTAGCAGCTATGCTCCATCCTGCTGGTGTCAGGGAGGCCATTCCAAAGCCCTTCTTGCCTCCCACCTGGCCAAATAACTGTTCCTCCCCTGTCTCCTTTACAGCTTGGGGGACTCTTTTGGAGATGAGTTCTAGTGGCTGATGTGGCCTGAGGACAGGTTCACCTCTCCTCCTGAGTCACTGTGACTATGGGCGCCCACCACTACACCAGGCTAGCTAACAGTTTTAAGCTCTAACTAGGTGCCAGCAGTGTGATCAAAACATACATGCTACTGTCTTTTTAATCCTCAAAACAACCCCAGAAGCCATTTTGCCACGGGTGAAATTGAGGCCCAAGGAGGAAGAGTAACTTGCCAAAAGTCACACAGCCAGTGGGCAGAGCCAGGATTTGAACCCCTTTGATCTAATTCCACAGCCAACACTAACTGTTACAGTAGCCACACTGCCTCCCTGTAAAAACAGGCATCCTTCACTATTCACTCTGTGCTTTTGGCGGGAAATCTGAGGCATGGAAGTTTCAGGCTAAACTACAAAAGGTCACTTGGCCAGGTAAGGTCTACTGAGGCCAATCAAGACAATCCAAGTGGGGAAGTAAGACTCTGTGGTGTTGCCGTCTTTGGAGCCCACCAACCACAGGTGAAACCTCTCTCTCACTCCCCTCTTCCCTCAGTCTCACAAATTCTCACTGCCTGTACTCTGAGAGTCACAGCTTTGGGGCAGCTCTACACACTGCTGTGGACTTCCTGGGACAGGGTGGTAAGCAACTGCTCCAATACCAGCAGCTCCAGGATGTGCTTCATGAAGGGCATCTCAGGCCAAAGACACCCACCCATGGCAAAGCTCCAGGAGTGACCCAAGGGTTTCTCCACTGACCTCCTGGAAGCTGAATCAGAAGCTTCTCTCCTCTGAGAGCTTCCATCGGGCTCCCGGGGCATCTGGTGGGTCTGAAAACCAGCTGCATCCACCTGCGAAGGCACTCTGGCCCTTTGGGAGGGTGAGTGGCATCCATCGGCTGGTGGCCAGCAGCACCAAGTCCAGACCAAGGATCCAAATTCTGGCCCAGCACAAATGGCTGAGGTGCCTTGGCCTTGGTGGGTCTCAGAGATGAGGTCCACTGGGTGGCCGAGTGCCTGAGCGCTGGGTGTTGCATCCGCCGTCACGAGAAACAGAGGTTCGGAGACTTTCAGAATTTTCAAGATGTTACTTTATTGGCCAAGTTTTACCTGCGCAGGGGCGAGCTCTCTGAGTGTCCAAGGACACTATACTCAGGAGAGCTGCAGATGAGAGCCGCGCCCCGGCGCTTACAGCTATGTCCTTATATAGGGGTATGCAAGCAAGCTTTGAACAGAAGCAGATGTGGCTGTTAGCTGTTGGCTAGCTCTAAACAGCTGATTGCCATTGGCTTATTAGGGAAATTCAAAAGGCTCTTTGTGTAGTTGGCGGTTAGCCCTTTTAGGAAGTAAAAATTCCCCTGTTGCTGGTCAGCCTAACTTTAGTTCCTGGTCAGCCTAACTTTATCCGGGGCTCCTTCGGGATTGTCCCTTTTCAACATCTGTTTGGGACCTCAACACTGGGCACTGCACCCAGTGAGCTGTGGGCACCAAAGTGGTGATTCCTTGAGTGTTGTGAGGGCACAGTGCAGGAAGTGGGGCTCTCGGCTTCCCTCCAAGAAGTAGTGCATCTCCACCAGCTTTAGATGGTTCGAGACTTGTCCCCCTTGCTGTTACGCTAGTGCCCTGTTTTTGTGGTATTCCTTGCCTCTCTCTGCATGCCTCTTTATCCACGGGCCCTGTGAGGGCATGTTCATTCGGGAGGGTTTGGGGAGAAGCCTTCAGCCCCAAAGGGAAGTGAAGTTTTCATCTGGAAAAGCCAGTGGAAGGAAACCTGAAGGGCCAATTCCCTGGGAGACTTGGGAGAAGAGGCCCTCCCCATGAGTCCCTGTGTTGTTTACTTCTTCAGAGCAGACTAGGACCATCAGCCCAAAGCCCACTGCTGCCAGACTCAAATTCTCATACATCATAACACTTTAAATATAGTCCACCCACAATATTTTAAAGCCATCTGGAGCCTACCTACTTTACATACTCCACAAAGATTTACCCAACCCCTGCTAACCACAAATAAGTCAAATCCTGGGGCTACAGAAGACCCTAAACTGCTGCTGCCCTCCGGAGTAGCTGATCCAGACACTCCTCAATGAGCTGCTGAGTGACGTCATGTAGAAATAAATGTAAGCCCCCTCTCTGACTCCCCTCTTCTTCCCTGGGAATTCCCTTGGCCTATTCTGCATCTGGGTGGTAGCCCTGTGCCTCTATCTCTGGAAGGCCTCTTGCTGGGAGGGACTTCCCGTCTCACACTGGTCTGTCCAAGAACTGCCCAAAGAAAGCTGGGGTGCTACTACCACCTCTAATGGTCCTGTCTCTTCTTTGATAACAATCCCCAGCCCACCAAAAAAAAATCCCTGAACTCACTGCAAGTCCTTATAAAAGATGGACAGGAGGAGCAGAGTGAGTAGTAGCAGATATTACTATGGAAGAAAGAAATTGGAGAGATGAAAGGAGTCATGAACCAAGGAATGCAAATGGCCTCTGAAGCTAAAAAGACCAGGAAATAAACAGATTCTCACTTGGAGCCTCCAGCAGGAATGCAGATCTACTAACAACCTGACTTCAGACTTTTGACACTCATAACACTAAGAGAAAACTTTTTTCTCTTTTAAGTCACTCAGTTTTTGGTAATTTGTTACAGTGGCAATAGGAAACTAATGTAAGGTGTACACACACATTATCTATAAATATTTCTACACCTATATGCCTGTGTCTATATTAAGATAAATATGAACTTATGCTGGTGTCTCCAACTTTAACCCATTGCCACGTGAATCATTCTAGCTGTCTCTTCTTGCTTAATTATAACTTCCCTCAACAACAGTGAGGAGAAACCTTGCTCCCACCATCCACCATCCATTAATTTATTTGTTCAAAAATTATGCATGTAGTTTCCAGAAATGTTCATCTATGCCCCTCTGAGAATTTACCAACTCAAGCACAATGTGTTATGTTTATCTTAACCCTTAACTTTTATTTTTAATGCACCCTCCAACTTTTTAATTTGAAATACTTTTGAATTTGAAACATGGAGAGAATTTCCTTCCTTTTCCCCTGGAAAGCTTAGTGCTGTGGATGCTGCCTCTCTCCCTGCTTCACTACTTCCCAATGGATTTCTGTCCCTTTTCCCCTGTCAGAGCTCCATCTTCTACCTGGATATGCTTTGCAGGGTTTTGGACCTGCTTGCCTGCCATCCTTGCCCTGTTTCACTCCTCCATCCAAGGCCCTAGCCTGCCCCAATGTGCTTGACTCCACTCCTGGTAGCTCCGTGTTTCCCATCACATCCCGCCTCAACTACCAGGCTCTCTCTCTCAGGAGCTTCTCCCCAGGTACGCAAACCTGTATGACTGTAGGCAGTGTCACTGGACAGAAAAAGTGGAGTGTTGACAGACTTGGAAGGTAAGGGAAGAATATCAGGATAGGAAATATGGACAGAGATCCAAGAGAGGTTGGGAATCCCAAAGCAGAATGGCACCTGGCCCCACATTCTACCTGGAGCTGTGGGATGGAGACGTCCTAGCAGCGCCCCACACAAACAGCAGAAGGCAACATGAGGCCAGAAATAAGAGCCTGGTGTTTAGGAAAGGCCCTGAGATGGTGCCCTTGGGTGAGTTCTGGATGGCTTATTTGTAGCTTGAATGAGTTCCAGCTGAGAGCCTCAAAAAGAGACTATACAGAGATGGTGAGAAGAAACTTGGTTGACAAAATGGCAGTGTACTATGCCTTTGGATATACGTGTGTACCACATCTTCTTCTAAATTTTATTTTTCAATTACAGTTTACAGCCAATATGATTTCCTATTATTTTCAGATGTGCAGCATAGTTGTTAGACCATCATATACTCTGTTTTAAGTACCCTCTTGGCACTGTACATAGTTATTCCAATATTATTGACTATATTCCCTATGCTGTATTTTACATTCCCATGACTATTTTATGACTACCAATTTGTACTTGTTAGTCCACTCACCTTTTCATCCATCCCCCGGACCCCTCTCCCCTGTGGCAACCATCAGTCTGATCCCTGAAATCTATGAGTCTGCTTCAGTTTTGTTTGTTCATTTATTTTGTTCTATATAGTCTGCATATAAGTGAAATCATATAGTCTTTGTCTTTCTCTGTCTCACTTCTTTCACTCAGCACAATATCCTCATAATATCCTCTAGGTCCTTCCACGTTGTCACAAATGGTAAGGTTTCATTTCTTTCTATGGCCAGCTAATATTCCATTGCATATATGTACCACAACTTCTTTTCAGTCAATTTTGACAGGTATAATAAGAAATAGTATGACTTCAGAATCTTAAAAGCAGATTTTAGAATCTACAAAATACATTATTTCTGACCCTTTCAAAAAAAGATTTCCTCAATTCTAAGACTACCATCCACTTTAATGCACATCGTTCATTTAATAACAGAAACCTCAAGTATGCATGGTTATCACCTTTATTTCATAAATGTTAAAATGTTCTAAAATGAGTATCTTATAATACAAGAAGACTCATTATAACCCTTATTTGGTTCTTGTTTTATTGGGAATGCAGGGCACTGACATTTGTTTTGAAATACCCGATTGCTAAAGGAGTGATATTTAAAATAAGGCGTGATGGATTTTTCCAATGTTTCTTCAACAACCTCAAGATTCTCATGTAGTTTTTTTTCTTTGAATTATGAATGTGGAGAAAATATGAATTGGTTTCTTAATATTGAGCTATTGTTAGTTTGAGGAAGTGATGTATAATTCTTTTAATGTGCTGCCTGATCTATTTGCTTATTTTTCATTCAGATTATTTTTTGCATCTTCGTAAGTGGAATTGGTCTACAGTTGTCCCTCTTTGTGCTTATTTTGTCAGGTTTTGGAATCACTTTTCTTTTGGCTTTCTATAGGGAATTGGGAAAGCTTCTTAAATTTGTTGTGCTCCTGCACAGTTTAAAATAAGAATAATTATAGAGCGCACAGGATTTTTAGGGCTGTGAATCTACTCTCTATGATACTATAATGGTGGATACATTATACTTTCGTCCAAACTCATGGGATTTATAACACCCATAGTGAACCAACCGTAATATAAACCAGGGAGTCTGAGTGATAATGATGTGTCAACGCAGGTTCTTCAGTTGTAGCAAATGTACCACTTGGGCAGGAGATGTTGATAACATAGGAGGCTGTGTGTATGTGGGGTCAGGACATATGGAAAATCTGTGCCTTCTGCTTAATTTTGCTATGAACCTAAACCTGCTCTAAAAAAGATAAAGTGTATTTTAAATACATTTATTTTGTTTTTAGAGACAGAGGAAGGCAGGGAGAAAGAGAGGGAGTGGAACATCAATGTGTGGTTGCCTCTCATGCACCCCACACCGGCTACCTGGCCTGTAACCCAGGCATGTGGCCTGACTGGGAATCAAACTGGTGACCCTTTGGTTCACAGGCCTACACTTAGTCCACTGAGCTACACCAGCTGGGGCTAAAGTGTATCTTTTTTAAAAATTAAGAATTGCATATTCCATGAAGATTATGAATGTTACAAATCCTTTTAGGCCTGTCTCTCTTTGGAAGGTGGGCTTGGATGCCTGGGATGGCTTTTCTTTTTTTTTTTTTTCTACAGCTCTTATTAACTTTTTGTTTTTCATTTCTTTGAATGTTCATTTGTTTTAATGACAAACCTGCAAACATATCATATCCACACCTATCATATGCCGACTGCTTTGTCCTTAGTGATCAGACAAATACTTAGTGTGTAGCTTGAGTACAAAATAACAGCAAGATTTCATGGTTGCCTTAAGGTTATTTGAAGATATCATTACCCATGAAGAATGAAATTGTTAAAAAATTACACATTAAGAATGATTTTTTAGGA